TGGCAGTGAAGGCACCACACTCAGGAGATTTCCTGTTAGCTGTTCCCAATTCCTCCCTGGGCACCCGTCTCGACCCACAGGCCATTCGGATTGGTGTTGCTCTTCGCCTAGCCGCCCCCATCCTCACCGAACATAGATGTATTTGCGGCAGGGCGACAGCTGATCAATTCGGACTTCATGGTCTTGTGTGTCACACAGCAGAAGGAAAGTATGCCAGACATGAGGAGGTCAATGACATCATAAAGAGAAGCCTCGCCACAGCCCGTTGCCCAGCTCAACGAGAACCCCAAGTGCAGAGGTCTGACGGAAGTCAAAAGCGTCCTGATGGAGCCACTATGCTACCCTGGAAGGATGGAAAGCAGATTGCCTGGGACTACACCTGTGCTGCCACATTGGCAGACACCTACTTGCCATACTCCGTAGTGGAAGGGGGTGGAGCTGCCAGCCACAGGGAGACCCAGAAGATCCGAAAATATGAAGACCTTCCCCCTTGCTATAACTTCATTCCAATAGGGTCGGAGACCCTTGGAGCATGGGGCAAGTGTGCTCTAAAGTTCCTCAAAGAGCTGGGTGAAAAGCTCATCATAGAAACCAAGGACCACAGGGCGACCAGCTGTCTCTTTCAGAGACTCAGTGTTGCGATCCAGAGAGGAAATGCCTGCAGCATTCTGGGCACGCTGCCCACTGCCGGGGAGCTGGACGAAGTATTCGAGATGTAGCTCTGAGTTACCTATGTTGTTTTGCTTTCTGTTGTATTTTTGTGAATGTTTGGCCAATGTATTTTTGTCTTTAAATAAAACATACTTGAAATATAGGGGGTGGTAGGAGAAAATTCTCAAACAGCTTCAGGGAAAACCTTGAGTTTTCCCTGAAGCAAGTTTATTCTTTTCTCTGAGGATGAGGATCCCCATGACAGTTCTAGAGGTGGTACCTCCCGTGTATATATATATATATATTATATATATATATATATATATATATATATATATATATATATATATATATAATATATATATATATATATATATATATATATATATATATATATATATATATATATATATATATATATATATATATATATATGTCGTTCCGAATATGTAAAACTGATCAATTAGCAAGAACTCATTTAAAATTAAGTCTTTTCTAAAATTTTCTCTTATACGTTTAAAGATTTTAATTTTGCTCCAAAAGAATCTTAGAAAACTTACCTAACCTTATTATAACAAGAACAATTTATTTTAGCCTAACCCAACTAAATACATTTTAGATTTATTTACAATAATTTCATACTAAACAAACATAGTGAAATATATTTTTTTCGTTAGGTTCAGAATGAATTTGGCGAAATTATTGCATACACAAATTTTTGCTTGTCCTATATGGCAAGATGAGCGTTGCTATTTAAGCCAAGATCGCAAGTTCTGCCTATTCGGCACGAATATATATATATATATATATATATATATATATATATATATATATATATATATATATATATATATATATATATATATATATATATATAATGTCGTGTCGAATATGTAAAACTGATCAATTAGCAAGAACTCCTTTAAAATTAACTCCTTTCTAAAATTTTCTCTTATACGTTTAAAGATATATTTTTTTCATTAATGTTAATGTAAAAAATTTTAATTTTGCACTAAAAGAATCTTAGAAAACTTACCTAACCTTATTATAACAAGAGCAATTTATTTTAGCCTAACCCAACTAAATATATTTTAAATACGTTTACAGTAATTTAATACTAAACAAACACAATCAAATATTTTTTTTCGTTAGGTTCAGAATGATTTTGGCGAAATTATTGCATACACAAATTTTCACTTGTCCTACATGGCAAGATGAGCGTTGCTATTTAAGCCAAGATCGCAAGCTCTGCCTATTCGGCAAGACATATATATATATATATATATATATATATATATATATATATATATATATATATATATATATATATATATATATGTGTGTGTGTGTGTGTGACAGTGTTGTGGTTGAGCTAGAGGGGACGGGGTGGCCACATACAGCAAAGGGGCTGCCTCTTGAACGATGAAGGCATTATTGATACATCCCACCTCCTTAGAGATGTGATCGGCACGCACCATAGTCCATTGTAGGACGGAGTGCTAAATACTGGGTAATGAGAGTGGACAGAGATAGAGAGGAGGGCGGAGGCTGTAATGTTACCTGAGTTACGGGTGATGCCTGCTCTAGACCTCACCATTATGGAAGGCAGTTCGGGCTATGCCGCCGTGATAAAGCCTGATGAAGGGTCAGGGAGCTACCAAGACGTATCCTATGGCACGATGCTTGGTGGGGAAGACTAAGGTATCGAGGGTTTAGTGAAATCTCACCTTGGAAGACTATACTGAGGGTCTACCTGTGATTTACCCATGGTTTACCTGTGACCTGTTTCGAGTGCTCTTTTCACGGCCTGGCTTCCCTGTTGACCGCCGGTTCTCATATTTATTAGTCTTGTTGATCAAGCGCATCGCAGAGGTAGTGATCCAGTTTCTTCTGGAATGCTGCACTTGTTCCAGCAATATTTTTTATTGTTAGCAGATTATAGTGTAAGCAAACGGATGTCGACATAGTATTCTCTTATCGTGCGCATGACTTCCCCGCTTTTCACTGGGCCTATTTTACCCTTCGGATATCCCTCATGTAGTACGTTATGGTACTGTGCAGATTTGAGACTAGTTTCTCCATTATCACGATATCTCTCTCGCCTTCTCTCCAGAGATCACATTCAGAGTTCTGACATTATATCCAGGTCTTTCATGTGTCGATGAGAAACAGTAGAGGCACACACAACTTGGTGACAACCCCCCCCCCCCCCCCACACACACCCTGGTGTATAGAGCCCGGTTTATGACAATTTAAAAAAGACTACATGAACAAGTCCTAAATGTAATACGAGGACAAATAAAATGCGTGATGCACTTATACTGCTAGCCCTTCGAGGATGTGTGGTATGTGGTTATGTACTCTTAGGAGAATATTTAATCAAGTTGGCGTAACCCTCCAGATACCTGGTGAGTAGAGAGAACGCTCATCTTGTAGAATGGTTAACACTTTTCATCAGTGTACATTGACCGCAGGGAACGCATGGTGCAGCCCCGTCTTGGTCTTGTTTATCTTTATATTACTGAGAATGGTCATCTTTATTTACCTTCATAGCGCCGAGAATGACCGTCTTGTTTACATTTATAGTGCTGAAAATGGTCGTTTTGTTTACCTTTATAATGTTGAGAAATGGCCTCAAGTGGGCAAAATGAACACCGTTTTGCTTATCTTGACAGTGCAGGCAGTGGCCACATTGAGATTTATCCTCGACTACCTTGTTTATCCTTGCATTATTGAAAGCAGTAGTTTGTGAATATTCTGAGACCCGTCATGTTTACCTCGTATAAGAAACATTTCAAACCCTATCTGTTCATATTTTTAGCCCCAAATGATATGTCGATTATGAAACTTGTAGCAGAAAAATACATTGAACCTCTTCTAGTTTCTTTGTAGCGTGGAGAATATCAAAAGGAATAAGGGAATGTGGCAGGGAGGGAGGGACGTAGGGCTGGCGAGTGGGAAGGGAGAGGGATAGGAAGAAGTGGTGGGGGCGAGAGGAGATGAGGAAAGAAGGGAGGCCAAAGAGGGAGGAGAGAAGAGGAGGGGTTCAGGGCAGGAGAGGGGGAGATATGCTGGTATATATCCCTCCATGGCCTTTTAATGCTGTCGAACCATATCTGTCTAATATGGGCGTTTGCGCTGCAGTTCATACAAGGCTTGTCTTAAACGGTTGAAAACACGTCAATTTATGTAGCCCTCCTGATTTGATATTCTGTTAGTGAACCATATATTTGTAATAGTATCTTTGTGTGGTCTATCTTCGTATGGTTTTCCATCATAATTTTCTTCATTTTCGTCCAGAGTTAGCAGAGTCAGAGGTGCACTTAGGACGTTTTTGTGTCAATTTACGACATGTCTCCTTGGGTCAATAGTGAGGTTTTCTCCCGCTGCCGATGCGTAGTTATTGCTGCTACTCCTTGTATGGATGACTCTTCACGATCCCTAGCTGCAAATAAGGTTTTTACACACGGTAGTGCTGGTGTTTTACTCTATTGATTTTTTTTTATTCAATTTACACGTTTAAAGGTTTATGATTCTATAATTTTCGTTACAAGAGTGTTGGTTAAATTGTTGTATAGTTTGATATTATAGCGATTAATACCTTATTAGACACCAGTTTACTGGATGTGAGGATGCTGCAGTTTACTGTGTGAGGATATTACAGTTTACTGGATGTGAGCATGTTAGCTCCGCTGTTGAATATAAACTCTTCAGATTAATATTCTGGAGAATATACAAACTGGCAATTTTTAGCAAGTACTTTTATAGAGACTAGCTTTCATTAATATTCTTACCGTCATAGGTAGTAAATAATCACAGTTCTGAGCCACTAAGTGTTACGACTGTCTCGGGTAGTGCCATATAAAAATTAAGATAGCATTATGTGATTTATTTCATCCAGTTGTACATTAATTGATTTATTTTTATATATGTATTAATCTCGTGTTTTTCGCAATGATTTTTGTGGATTAATAGCAAAAATAAATTTTCGTTCGTTCTTTATATACAAGTTGTGATTGTAAATAGCGACGTACATATTGTGGTATCTATTAAACTAAATGTATGAGTTTATCATTGATTACAGCTATAGATATTTTAGCTCTAATCAGAGTTTACACCTAAAAGCACTGTCCCCAAAGGATCAATCACATTGTGTTGAAAATGCACAGATGTGAACCTTGTGTTACAGCAAGGTATATGAGAATTACATTATACCATATGTATGTTGTAATTATAAAACTTTCACTGTATATACACAGAGATAAACAGCTCTTTGTGTATATACCCTGTTAATTACCAAACCCACTCATTCACTAAGAAAACCTAAAATATATTTTTTTCTTCTACAGATTCTTCAATGTAGTGAACAACTTCCTTAAGCAGAACAAGGATAATGGTGAGTAACACATGTTAATTTGTTCTTTACAGTATTGTCATTCTTTTCCCTTCCCTAAGAAAAAAGAAAACGCTCGGTACTTGTTCCTTCGAGTATGATTTATATTGCGGATATTACAAGAAATTGGCGAAATCTTAAAAATAAAGGTAAATTCAATCGATGTCATTACAGTAGAAAATCTTAACAGTTTTTTATGACTGTCCACTCTAGGGTTAAGATGTCATCAGAAATCTCACCTATTTTTAAATATATGTTCACAGTATGCCTATGCACTCCCTCTCCTTTACTCTCCCTCTCGTAGCCCCCCAGCACACTTCCAGTTTGCTCATGGATGCGGGAGTCGTGGTGAGTGGTCTTTTCCAACGCACACGCATACAAACCTTTGCACTTTCACTTGGTGTAAATGGCTCTTACTCTTAAGTATTCTCCAGATTTGTGATCTCCCTTGCCAAGATATCTTTATTATAAATTGCCTTTTGAGAGATTTCTTGGGTTTATAAGCGCTTCTTGGCATTTGGGTGTCACGGAGTTTCCAAAAGTTCTCTGCGAGAATTTGTTGACATTGGTGTCTTGGGCAGTGAACAAATTTGGTGCAGAGGCGTCTCTTGCTAAGTGACTGAGCCCTTGTATGGTGTGTGTAAACGTGCTGGTAGACTGAGGTGTTAAAGGTGCAGAGCTAGTGTTGATTTCTTTTTAAATTAGCGTTAGGTACATGGATACCTTTTACTCAGTATTGAATACTTACTTCCAGCAGGCACTGGAGTTTCTTTCACACACGACCGATTTTCTTAAGTAGGATCTAACAATCCAGCAAAATTGCAGTTCTCTAGATATGTTTATGTTCCAGAAAGCAACCCACAGCAGTCGGCTAACAGGGAAATACCTATTTTTAATGCTAAGTGGGCGGGGACAGCAAGGGCTAAAAAAAAAAAAAAAAGCCGACATAAGTTTATCCATGCCATGGAATCGAACCCTTGTCCTTTAGATTCAGTCGAATGCTCTCAGCTGTGAGCTATGGGGCTCCCCGGGTTGGTGGGGCGGCCGGGGCTGCGAGAGTTTGGGAAGAGTTTAGTCTCCCTCACTGTTGGTGTTGATGGAGAGCATGGTCATATCTCCTCGGCTGAAGATGCAGAGGGCTCTGGTGAGGATGGGGCTAGTGAGGGAGATTAGTCTTATGTACGTTGAGCATTATTATTCTTATTTAAGGGGTGGCGCTAAACCAGTACGGGCCATATAGCGTCGGGGGAATTAGAGGAAGGGGGAATCAAGTTTGATCAGAGGATTGGAGTATGAGCCTTTCACCAGCTTTCAAGGCACCATCCTTGAAGGGCCACGGCTGAGCAAATGTATTTGGTGGAACACAAGTTATTTTCCCCTGCTGAAGGGTTGCTGATAAGTATGTACTCGTCTGTCTTTACCTGTGTGAATTGGGCTTCAGCTCTTGGTCTCTATATTAATTCATTCGCCTGGTATAGTAGACCATCCTTGAGTTTTCTCGTACCTGCTTGTATATATGTATACAATCTTCCTCAACCTCTCTCCCTAATTTATTCCATTTTATGCCTCGGAAGATTGGTTTGTTATGATGCCTACTCCTGTCTATTTTTCGATTTTAGAGAAGCGTTCCTTCCTATATGATTCTTTGTGACTTCTTTGTTTCCAGTACGTTACTCTCTTCATACTTCAGTCGTGGCCTTTTGCAGCTTTCGCTAAATTTTGCTCTCTGCAATTTAATTCTCAACAGTTTTTACTAAGAGCATCTTCAAGAAGCTTGTCAAGTAAACAGTGTCTAGTTCAAAAGATATATAACTTTTCAGTTACTTCAACACTAGAAGACTGCTTTCACATTTGGGACGCTCCTTAACTAAAATATTCGATGCAATTCAAGAGAAAGCTAATCGTCTTATCACTGGACTTTCCTTCACGTTCAACTTTAAATCATTAGCTTCTCGCCGCATAGTTGCATCTCTCTCGCTCTCTTTAGTGTCCAGTGAATGTCTCGATAGTATTCACGTATTCATAATTAAAAAAAAGATGGAATTAGTTTTTTGTATTGTTACTAGAAATTCTATAGCATATTAGTAATGGTTCAACGTCATTTGCGGAGCCTGTATATGCGGCTAGTACCAGCAGCCTAATTGATCAATCCATCATCCAGGGGGCCTGGTGTAGGACCGGTTCGCGGGAGCGATGACCTCCCCGGAATCGTGTTCGGGTATCCTTCAGGTAAGAGAAGTGGTAAAACATCAGTAAGACAAAGAGCGTCTGTAGGAGGAAAATGGTGATGTCTGGGGATACACAGGAAATTGCAGGGAAAGTGATTGTTGACATACAGATACAAAAATCTAAGTGCTATTTGTAGGCTCTTATGCAACTGGGACTCACACCTGTATAAAGTTGTTTGGTCAAGACTTGGCCACGACCATAAAAGTATGCTATGCCCTCCTCTCCTTGTTTGGGCATGTGCTAGTGTACCTTGCTACTGGAGTCACTAAAGATTAGTTTAGTGTGTTTGTGTGTGCGGGCGCGCACGCAGTGCGCGGCGTGAGTAGTGTCGATGCCAGTTTTAGAAAGTGGGGAGGAAGGGTTTGCAGGCGTGCATACTGAAACAACATTAGTAGGGTCTTTGCTGCAAGATGTGACTATTCATTGAGTCAACATTATCAAGCAGTGCAGTTGATCCTTACAAACATATTGACGGCTTCGAGTGTTGGCACGCTTCATTTGGTTTGTTAACAACTTGAATACAATTTATTCTTTTAAAATTTATGTATAAATGGTTCTCTGTTTTCAGCCACGAGGACAAAAGGAAAATGCACTCTCACAATCAATATGTCATGTAATTATTGACTTGAAGCTCGTGGGGTAAATTCAATTATGAGAGACATAATTATTATTAACGGCGTGACTTCTAAAACTTTTGTGAAGTTAGCAGACATAACTAGGGTTTTATTTATTGTGTTGGAATGCATTAAAATTATTCCTCCGGCTTTTTCTCATCCTCATAACAGACTTAGGCAAACACTAACCACAAGTTTGTATCATCCTTGATGGCAGTTTAAAAATAAACATGAAAATCGCCTCACTAGAAGACACGGGAAAATTCTAAGAAAATAGAACGACAGGATCATGCAAAACACTTTCGTACAATAATGTTGGATGACTTAACATTTAGAAAACATAATAGGCAAATGCCACAACGCTCAATAAATGGTTATAACTATGATTTTTAAAGGGGTGGACCGATAAGCCAGCGGAAGGCTTCGGTCAGATGACCAAAAGCTCCAGCGGCGGGTCATCTGACTAAGACCCGCGTCAGAAAACACTTGTCCTGTTTTCTGACGAACCTTACCTAACCTAGCCACGAGGCTAAAAAAAAAAAAAAAAAAGACATGGTCGATAATGAGTATTTTCGAAACAAAAGAAATTATGCCAATGACAGAATTCGAATCACTTGTCGGCTCTCGTTTCGAATATTGTTCTGCCTTGACGGCTCCGTTCAAAGCGGGAGAGAGATCAGAGCTAGAACATGTACAAAGAATCACTTAAACTACTGAAGTGCCTCAAAATACTGGAAATGCACTCTCTGGAGCCAAGACAAGGAGGAGCCTTGATAATGTACACCTGGATGATATTTGAAGCACCCTGGACTATAACAATGTCCTGAAAATCTTAGAGTATCATACTAGGAGTGGTATGTCATCATACCAGGCGTGCATGCCATCATACCAGGAGTACACGTCGGTATCATACCAGGGGTGCATGTCAGTATCATACCAGGAGTACATGACTCTCATTTCTGGAGTACATGACTTGAGCTTCAGAAAGTACTTTTGCAAACACACGCGTCGAGTCGTTTAGAATGTTTAAATTTGCTAATGTAATGCAAATATTTAAAAGAATGAAATGTAGGAGAAACTGAGTCAAGTTGGTTGGGTTCAGGTTGAACCCCAAGAGGGCGGCTGGGTATAAATTGAATTGATCACCTGGAGAATGGCCCAGGTTTTTACCTATACATTTTTTTTTTTATTTTTGGGAGGGGATAAAAGCAACGCCGCCCCCACCGTGGCTGTTGCTAATTTCTTCGCTGTTAAATTGTGGCAGATGGCTGTTTGTGGGTAAAGCAGTAAATGCTTAGACAAGTATATGGACGATTGAGGCATAGTATTCAGGGAAATGTAGAGGACAGGTGTCTAGAGAAGCAAGTAGATGAAGGCTTGGAGGGCCATTGCTTAGGGAAGTGGAAGGAATATTTAATGCGTTTGTGTTATTGGTTAATTGACCATTGAGGTTTGTTAATAGTTGGTTGAACATTGTAGCTTGTTACTGGTTGGTTGATCATAATTATGCCTTGGTTACTCTTTGATGGCTACTTTACAGTGGGTGGCCTACAGCAACAGCCTGATTGACCAAGAAATTAACAGATAACCCTGGCCCCAGGCCGGGCTGCTGGACTAGGAAGACTCGAAATCGATCACAGGTGTACATCACAGGCTTTTCTTAGAGTCGCTTTGTAGGCTTTAATAATTTCCGTACTCATATTACTTTCATTAGAGATTAGGCTATTACTACTACTTGTAACTGCTGCATGATATTGTCATACTATGATAACTCTTGTGTGTTCTTCCCACAGAGAAGCTTATTGGCGTGCACTGTACCCACGGCCTCAACCGCACCGGCTACATGATATGTAGGTGAGTACCTAACTAATCTTTGTTAGAATTGTTTGATATTAAGCGTAGACCTTCTGTTTCCTTGTGCATTTGTCTTTTATTTAAAACCTGGTAAGTCCCCAACTCTTTACTCCTCTTATGTATAATGGTATACAGAACAGTGTAAGTTAGTAAACTAAAAGAACAGTATAAATTATTTTATTAGCAGGAGAATAAAGGTCACTACACCAGCAGGGCAGTGTAAGTCACTGCGCTAACTAGTCTAACTCTTGGCAAGTAGCACAAGTTATGTGCTTTGAAATATCTAAACAAGAGTTTACGGGCTGGACCCATGCTGAGCTGGGCATAGAAATTAACAACTGGAATTATACATTACAGCAACAGCTTGTTGACCAGGCAAGTCTCGAAATCAGTCATAGGTATATTACAAATTGAACTATTTGTCATTCTAATGTCATTAATACTTATGAAAATGAGCTTGATTGTTCGATCATTTTTTAATATATTTTTACTAAATGTACTTGACTCGCACAACCACCAGCAATATGCACATTGGGGAAGCCAGGTCAAGATATTTAGAAAACCAAGAGAAGGGAATGAATATGCAGTTCTCAAGGATTCCATCTCGCACTGACATTCCTACACGATAAAGTTGATAAATTAGCCAAAGAAAGTACTCTGAAAGAAGTAATCAAGTATAATAATTTTGGTCTGTGTGTGTCAAGCATTAAAAATAATAGAATATAATTAACTAATGTGAATGTTATGGGAATATTTTCTTCAGCAAATAGTATAGACGTCAATGTGCAGTTTTTCATTATTATTCATTGGGAAGGGGGTGGAAGGGCTAGCTCCAATTCTTCAGATCAAGAGCCCTTCACCGATATGTAATCGCTTGATATTTACTGTTATCTGAATGTTTTCTCCCTAAAGTCTGCCCATGTATTGTTGTTATACTCTGTGCCTCCTTGTTACTCTGTACAGTGTTCTTGACCGTTACGTCTCCTTGTTGCTTTCTGTATTGTAATTTATGTTCCTTGCATTTTCTAGGTACATGATACAGCAGTTACGTATACCTTCAGATCAAGCTATTGCAGGTAAGGATTAACTTTTTATTGTATTTATACACTATTTGTTGTATGTGCTACTTTGTTTGCTCTTGTATGCATACCAAAGCCGCACCTGATCAATGAATGCAAAGAAATTGTAAAAACTTTAAGTTAGCGACGAGGTTGGTACCGGAACTTATCGAGATGGACTGTTAAGAGAGATTTACAGAACTCTACAACCTTCAGAAAGGTGGATCAGGGACGACATAAACATGGCGCGAAATTAGCTAAGATAGGAACAGGCTGACATAGAGAGTGAACCAGGGGAAGCAGATATCTAACAGCTAAAAACTCGGACGAGCCACAGGAACATCAGTAATTTCTCCTTAAATCTCAGAGTGGTGAGTGGAATGGACTGTTCGAAGAGATGAGAGATGATAGAGGCAAATATCATTTACAGTTTCAAAAGTAGATATAATCAGATCTTGAAAGCCATAAATTGGTAGTTAAGAGAAAGTACAGCGAGCTAAGGTTCGACTACTGTGAGCATATGATTGTTTTAATGTTGTCCCAGGCTGAAAAAAAAAATCACGATATACACTACCAATGTAGAAAAATTTATAGATAAGTAGTGTTGCAATAAACATGAGCTTGGTTGCCTCCTACTTTTAAATATTAATTCTAAATCTATTAGTGGTCAACATTTCATGTTCTCAATAATAATGGTTCTCTGAACCATTCATCCATAAGCGCTAAACCCGAAAGGGTGGTCATATAGCTATGCCCGGGGGGGGGGGATATGCGATGGCCAGGAGTGTCGTGTTCTCAAGAATTTGAGTTATATATATTTTTTTTAATTAGGTCTGGTAACGCTCGCGCCTGAGAGACTTCTCGTTGATGTGTGCCTTGCTAGTTCTAGCATGGCATAGCTTGTTCTTATGTCTTCCATTGCACAATCATTATGAGAACAAACCTGTATCTTCCCTGACACTTAAGAGGCGTCTAGACAATAGCTTGTTAATTTTTGGTAGGTAAGACACAAAGGCAACAGTTAGGCAACTTTATTCCGAAACGTTTCGCCTACACAGTAGGCTTCTTCAGTCGAATACAGAAAGTAGGCAGGAACGGTAGAGATGTGAAGACGATGTAATCAGTCCATCACCCTTGAAGTCCATCACCCTTCAAGGGTGATGGACTGATTACATCGTCTTCACATCTCTACCGTTCCTGCCTACTTTCTGTATTCGACTGAAGAAGCCTACTGTGTAGGCGAAACGTTTCGGAATAAAGTTGCCTAACTGTTGCCTTTGTGTCTTACCTACCAACCTGTCGGTATTTTATACCATTTTGATGTTCATCTTGTTAATTTTTGTTTACTGGTTAACATTAATGAGTAACTTTGCCACTCCTGTGGCCTAATATGTTACCAAAACTCGGGTCAAAATCGTGCGGTATATTTGAAGATGAGCTGCATTTACGTTGTATATTCATTATGGCGTTGCTACTAACATCAGGATAAATGTTCTTCATATAGCTTAGCATTTTCTTAATCTTTAATACGACAGCGTACTGTTTATTCACAAGGCTCCAAACTCGTATGGGTCATTCAGTGCTGCATACTACAGTGTAATTAATCCAAATGTTCCTAGGAGAATATAGCTTATGTGAACCTTTATCAGTGGAGTAGCAGCTCAACTTAGCTTGCAGGCAGCTTCAGTACCTTGCAAGCGGCTGCAGTAGCTTGCAAGCGGCTGCGGTAGCTTGAAAAGTATTGCAGCAGCTTTGTAGCATGTGATGTGTATGACAACAGAGTGAAGGTGTGCTGGCTGTCCATCATGATAGTAATCACACTTGCCTCGTCCAGTGTCAGTCTGATGAACTCCGCCACAGATCCCTCCAGCTCCCACTATTGTTACCCAAGTGATTTAAGCCGTCATAACTCAACCTCCTTCCTGGTGTACGCCGCCTTCCCTGGTGTACCCTGCCTTCCCTGGTGTACACTGGGCACCTGGCCTCTCGCCTGTACACCTGGCTTCTCAGCTGATGTACCCTGGACACCTAGCTTCACCTCAGGGCTGAACTGTTGCATCAGTTAATGCTAGCTACGTCCACTTATCTTTCCTCATTAGCTCTTACGAGCCTTGGTAAACAACACTGATGTAGACAACGAGTACGTCTTGGTAGCCACATGCAGTTTATTTGCTGTCAAAATTGTGTCACCAGCACAAGCACTTTTTTTTGTGGGGGGGGGGGGAAATTATCAGATTGCGGTGAAATTTTAGAAGTAATAATGACATATCAAAACATCCTTGAGAGGGTACAAAGATGCCCTCTTGATGATTTTATGGAAAAGCATGAAAATAAACAACCCAGTTCAACATAGCTTTAAAGCAGAAAGGTCCTACTTCTGACAAATATTTACTGGGATCAGTATCTAGCCTCTCAAAGAGGTAGTACTTTGAAGGCGACAACTTCAGCTTAGGAGATTAGGGGGGGAGAGATATCAAAACTGGAACAGATAGAGAGGTCATTTATGGCCCACATAGAACCAGTAAAGCATTTAAATTACTAGGAATGTTTAACTTTCTAAATATGTACTCACTGGAGCGGAGGAAAGACATGATAATGTTATGGCAAATCTGCACATTGCCATAACATACTGGGGTGGGAGATAAGGGAGGAAGTGCAAAATTAACCCAACAAAAAGCAGGGGTGCCGTGGGCACAGTAAGGGAACACTATCAATGTCCATGGGCCCAGACTATTCAACATCTTAAATGAAGATATCAGAAATACTACTGGGACTAGTGTATAAGTCGTCAAGAGCAAACTGGACAAGTATCTTTACAAGGTCCCAGATCAACCAGGTTGTGTTGGATATGTGGGCCAGCAGCAACAGTCTGGTTGACCAGGCAAGCACTAAGACGAACTGCCCATGCCAGGCTCCGGGAGTAGAAAAACTCTCGGAACTAATCGTAAATAATCGAATATAATTAAAGTGTCTTTGACCATGGAATTTTCATGCACAGCAGTCTCTAAAGTTTACAGAACTGTACAAAAATCCACTGAGCTGCAGTTCTGTGGACAAAGACACCTTGTTAGTGGTCAAAGGAGAATGACCAGATTAGGTCCAGCTGACAGGAAGGCGACAGTAACTCAAATAAACACGTGTTGTATACAATGGTGGTATGGAGAAGACATCACATCATTCCATCAATGGTATGACTTAATGATTGACTCTAGTTTAACAAGGTGAACCCTGCCTAGCTTATGTGTGTTTTGTGTAAAGGACAACTTAGAGAAATTGTCTTGCACAGTTTAAAGTGTGGGTTTTATACTATTGCTGCACTTAATTCATGATGTTGAAATTACAGTCAAGCAGGTCAACTTGGTTCTTGTTCATTGTTAACAAGGTTAAACTCGGATCTTGTTCAGTGACGGATAAAACTCAAGGTACTTTTTGACCATCTGAGCAACTGTGTATTTAGTAGTTGAGGTCAGATGTGATGTTCTTCCCTGCACCAACCCCATACCTCTATTCCTGAACCCCATCCCTTTTTCTCCTACACCCAATCCTTCCATCTACACACTACACATCATCATTCCCTCTCTCATAATCTACATACCATACCTCCTTCCTACCTCAACACCATGCCTATCACTTGTACACACACTTCCCCTCTCTTTACAGACTACAACAGTGCACGTGGCCATGCACAGGAGCGAGAGAACTACTTGGCAGACCTCAGGAAAGCGGAGTGGATTAACGAGGCGATTCCAGTGGTTTCTGTTGATGTTCAAAAAGGTTCAGCTATTACCACTATAAACCCTTTCACCTCCAACTCGCCCGATGGGACCTCTACAAGCATAAGAAGACCTTCCCTTGACAAATATCTCAAGTAAGCATATGCTGAATATTTGTTGGGTCTGGTAATGGAAACTATTGTATGTGATGCTTCAGTTATTGTTGATAATAGCCCACAACAAACTGAAGTTTCATCTGTTTTCCATTTCCAATTTGGGGTTGTGAACTGATTAAGCCAGGCTGCCGTGCCATACTGTATACCTGTCTTTAAGGTCTTTTCTTTTAATAGCATTGTTGCAGTGTTCGTGCTTGGTGCTTTCATGAAAATAATTCGGTAATAAAGTGGATTTGGACGAAAATAGGTGTTGGCTCTCTGGTAAAGAAAAAAGGTCTAGAATAGACGGGATTTTATTATAATAGGGCCAAGGCAAAATTTTTAAAAGCGTTGGAATAAGGTATAGTTCAATTAGGAAAAAAGACAGCCGTTTTTTTAAAGACTTTTTTTTTAGAAAAAAAAAAGGGTTAAAAGGGGAAACTTCTGGATATGCATGTTTTTTAGAGAGGCAACAGATAAAACAGATCATTATTTATTGTAGACAGGTTAAATTAAGATACAAGAGAATGCAACATTGATAAAAATTTTTTTTAAAATTAAAGGAGGTAGTTGGGAAAATTTTAAAGCAACTTTTTAGAGAAAGGTGACTACAAAAATATAGGTAGGGGGTGGGATTTAAGAATGAAGTATTAGTGGGCAGGGGGAGGGGAAGAATGATAGGTGGTTTACGATTAAAGAGGGGGTTTTTAAGGGAGAGGAAAATTTACAAATGAGGGGTTTTTTTAAAAAGAAGTGTTGTAACGGGGGAGCAAAAGAGAGAAGGTGATTTTTAAACCAAAAAAGTTTTTTGCGGGGAATAAAAAAAACCTTTTTGAGTGATATTAGTAATTTGAGCCAAAAGGAAGAAGGGAAACTTTACTTTTTAAAAACCCAACAAGGATTTAAATTGTTTAAATTAGACACATGGGGCAACCTTGGGACCTTTTGGGGAAACTTTTCCCGCCAAAACAGTGGCTTATTTTTTCCATACTAATTTATCAACAGTCGGTTCTCTGAACCATTCATCAAAAAACCTGCCCAGAAAACTCAACTTTTGGGGAACCCTTAATCTTGGGAAATTTCCCTTCGCTCCCCTAATTCTTGGGCAGGGACCAATTTCCAAAATTAAAAAAAAAGGGTGAAAAACCACCTATAACGCTGAAACCTCCCAAACCAACGGTTTATAAGCCCCTTCCCTCCGCACGAATCCCGATTCAAATTCAAATTAAAGGAAGCCCATCAAATAAAGGGTTAGGACGATTACCTCATTTTTCCCCCTTGTTTTTCCCCAAAATTTTCTCCTTTGTATGGACTGTTTGAACCCCACTGTATGGCGAAATTTTTCCCTAAAATAAAGATCCCCAAATTTTGCACATGTGTCTAATTTTTCAACATGGGGTTTTCCTAACCTTTCATCTACAGAGGATTTAAATTAATGCAGAGGTGGAGATTCTGGGAAGATAGAGGGAATATTTTGAGGGCGAAAATGTTGATGGAGAAAGGAGGCAGTGTTTTCATCTTTGGGGGCCCAAGGAGGTATAACATAAATAACAAAAAAGGCAAAAAAACCGGACGGGAAAACGATAAAACAACCCCCCACATAAAAGAGAGAATTTTTACGACAAACTTTTTTGGGTCCGAAAATGGACCATTGACAAAGTCACACTAACCAGGGTACAAAACAAAAAGATCAGGTAAGACCCCAAAAAGGGATCAGGGGGAAATTTAAAATTCAGACAAAAATTTGTCCCGGAGAGGATGTTCTTAGTCGTAGAAATAGAGCCGGGGGGTTTAACCCCAGCGGGCGATCTTTTGGGACAGAAATTGAAAAAAAATTTTCAGGCTCTTCTGTTGGGACACCGGGGGTGAGGGGGGAATAAAGGGGACATGCAACGTTTAAAGCTAGAAGGAGGGGTAGAACGACCAGGTTTTAAACCCAAAGGGCAAGGCAACGTGGATCAGAAAAATGGTCCCTGCCCATAAAAAAGGTACCTCTCGAAAAATCCAAAGGGTTTTTGAAAAGGGGGTTTAAGGACCCAGGACCCATGCAAGGAGTAAAAAGGGTTTTGTTTTGGGTTTTGTGGGTCGGGCAATCCCCTTCGTAAAGGAGGAGGCCAGTAGCCCATGTCGTGTCACAATTTTGGTAATTTTTTTCTGTCCCTGGGGGCGCCCTTTTTCCAGTACAATTCAGCGCAGGGATTTCAACGGGGCATGTAGAGACTCGAAATGGGGCCCCGAAGTCCCTCCCCATCTGAAACAAGCACCCCCACCCGCGGGCCCTTGTTCTGGACACGTTTCTTTTTTAATTTTTTGGTTTTTGGGCGAAAAGGAGGGGCAGAGGAGAGTATTTTATCAGGGGGACTTAAAAGGGGAAAATTTTTAAAAAGGGGTGTAGTTTTGGGGCTTTGGGAGGGTTTTCAGGTTTTCATTTGTTTTGGGGCCCGAAAGGGGCCCTTTAACAAGCTATTGCTTTCCTTGAGTAAATGTGTCTGGGTAAGGGGTAAAAGGGGGTAGTAAAGAAAAACCGCCAAGGACAGTGAAGATTGTGTCAGGGGAGGGTTAAGGGGGCGGGCTTTCCCCTGTTCTGAGCTCGACAGGTAATGGGGGATCACGTTTTCTGTAGTTTAAAAAAATTATGCGGTTTTTACCCGCATTGGGTTTGTTTCCCATTTTTGTTCCCAGTTTGGCAATCCTTTCGACCTTTTTTGGGTTTTTGGTGTGAGTGTATCTATATTGGCATAAATGATAAGTTGTGTAATGTCTTCTAAAATGGGGGGGCCAGGGGTGATGGATTTTTTTGGGGTATCCAGTTTTGGGAAGGGTCTTTTAGTGAAATAAAATGTAGAGGGGGGGGGAGAGGCCAGATCCCTGGGGAACCCCAGCATTTAGTGTGAAGAAACCGAGAAAACACCCTTTGGGAAATTTTTGATTCCATGGAAAAGGGCTGTCTGGGAAATTTTTCAGAGGATTTTACGATAGTGAGGGGCGGGTTTTAAAGTTGTGCAGATTTTTGTACTTGAGCCTTGGTGCCAGTGCAAAAGTTTTTTCAACGTTTTTTTGCAACCAGGGCGCCCCGTTTCTTTGTTCTGTGTTTATGGGATGTATTTTGAGAATGATTTTAAGGGCATTTGTGGGGATCTGGGGTTTTCTAAACCCCAAACTGCCCATCAGAAAGTAAGAGTTTGTGTTCCAGGTATCTGCAAAGGGCGAGGGTTTTAAAAGGGAAAGGTTTTTCAAAGAGTTTTCCAAAAGTTTCGAGGAGGTTTAAAGGGGCAATTTTCTGGGAATCAGAGTGGTTTTTTTTTGGTTTAGGAAAGGAGGATACCCCTAGCAGCTTTGAAGAGGGAAGGGAAGTATCCAAAAGGCAAGGGAGGCATTGAGGAGGTTTGTGTAGGCAGAAAAAATAGAGCCAGGAAGGTGTTTTTGGGTAATAAGGTTAGGGGCCCGAGGCCCCGGGGGCCTTTGGGGGGGGAAGGGGTTCTTAGGGAAATTTAATGTCTGGTTGGGGAAAAAAAGGTTCGAGTTCTTGGGGAGGGAAAAAGAGCCCAGAAGAAAAAGTGGCTATCTGGTTTTTGTAGGTTCCAGTGTTTTTTAATTTTTTGGGAAAGTGTTGAATAATGTTATGGGAGGTCGGTGAGGGGGGAAAATGTTCTCCCCGATGGTTTTGAGATGTTGGAAACAAACCGCGGGGCCCCGAGAGTTTTGTGTTTTTGTGGGGATGGGGTTTGAATTTGTTTGGGGGGAGTAGGTTTCCCTTATTATTTTAAAAAAGAAACCCGAAACTTTAGGGGTTTTTAAATACGCTTTTTTGTCCCCTTGTTTATGAGTTGTGACCCCTTTATTGGGTTTTGGTCTTGGGCTAGCTGGTAAAATTTTATTTTTTAAAAGGTTTAAATGAGATCAAAACCAACTTGATTAAATCGTGTTGTAGGTAAGCGGGTTTTGGTAGCAGATAATTAAAATCTTCTTGTTTGGTGACGGGTTTGGGAAAAAAACGAGTGGTGTAGTTTTTTTTTGGGATTGCGTTGTTTTCTGCTTTTTAAAGGTGCCTGGGTGAGATCAAGTTGAGTAACGAGTTTAGAGATAGGTTTTTTGTTTTTAGGGCCCTAGGGGAGGGTTTAATTTTTTCTATGTGTTTTTTGAAAACAACCCCGTCAAAACGTTCCCAGTGTAGAAGGAAAGGGGTGTTGGAATGAGGGTAGGGTTTGGGAGAAAGTTTTCAAAAATAATGGGATGTGCAGAAACCTGAATAGGGGGCCCCCCGTGAGAGTATTTTGAAATAGGAGCTTGGGTCGGTTTTTTTCCAGAATGATGTCTGGTTTGCCTTGGGGCCCCTGTGATTGAAGAAGGTATTGAAGTCTGGGCCGAGATTAAAAAGGTGTTTATGGTTAGTGAAATTGAGTAATTGGTGACCAAGTTTTGGTTTTTTTCGGGTGATAAAGGCGGTTTTGTTTGGGGAATTTAAGTCAGCTAGTAGGGGTTGGGGTAGTTTGAAAAAACTAAGAAAAAGTCTGTAAGTTGAAAAATAGTTTTTGGGGGAGCATAGGTGGGGAAAAAGAAAAAGGGGCCAAGGTGGGGTGTAACCCGATGCAAGACAGTGTTTTTTTGAATAAAAAAAATTTGGGGGAGAAATTTGTGGGTTTTAAAAGTTGGGTTTTGACAAGGAAGGCAACCCCCCCGTGGGGATCATAGGGGGACTGTATGCATTTTAACCATAAAGGCGGATAAAGTTTGGGGGGTTTTAGGGAGGAAATGTTAAACAAAAACAATAACGGGCTCTCTGCTTCAAGGGGCCGCCATTTGGGGGGTCAATAGTAAATAAGAAAAGTAAGTTGAACTGAATCACTTTAAAAAATGATTTTTAAAAATTTTTGTCATAGCAAATTAATGTTGGGGGGAGGGGTTTGGAATTTAAAACCCCTGGGTAGGGTGCCCAAAACATGGAAAGCGGGGTTTTTTATGTGTTACCCGGGCCCGTTTTTTCCCGGAGGGGGGAAGAA